GATGAGTTTGATGAATGGATCATATTTTATACAACAGTCGGTTCCTGATACCGTGATGTTTGCACGCAGTCGTGGGGTATGGGAGCGAAGAAACTCTTCCGTAAATCTCGTTTTCTTTGGTCCATTTGTATTTGAATTGCCTTTGTTTTTCCTGCTCGGGTGTTTCGGGGTGACGAAGCCGTCCTCACTCCTATTTCCACTGCTTTCTGTAGTTGGAGGGGTCGGTTGTTTTGCTTGGAGTTTATCAGGTCGGGTTCGTTTCACCTCCTTGTCTTCTTCATAGCTCTCCACTTCGGAAGCGGAGGTTTTCCCTGAAGAGCGGGTGCGTTTTATGGAGGGGATTTCTACTTCCATCTCAGTTGTCGATTCATTTCCATTATTTTGGGGTAATTCCTGGAAATCAGTTTGATTAGGGATCGTTAATGCAGTCAATTCCGGGTCGTTGCAGTCTGTTTGTTCTTCCATGTGTATTTCTTCAAATTGAGATGTGTTCAGAGCAGTCGTTTGTGTGTCTTGAGACGTTTCTGATGTTTGTATCAGAGGGCATTTGTTGCGAAAGTGTCCAACTTTTTGCAGTGAAAACAAGCTGGACTTTCGGTGGATGGGTAGGCAGTGTAGTCAAAATTGTTCCTCTTTAGTCTTATGACATTGGGAAGATTGATTTCATCAACAGGGTCAATGTAGACTTGTCTTCGGAAGCTCTTGACATGCTCATATCCCGGTGTTTTTGATCCAGCCCCAATGTAAGTTATCGGGGGAACCATTTTCACCCCTGTCTCGGTGATTTTTTGGCAAGAATATCGTGAGGAAGAGAAGAGTGAACGTGAGAGATAGTAACTCCTTTGGACTTGACGATAAGTGGTCGAATTTTCAGTGGGTTTCCATTAATCGATAGTTCTGCTTGTGCTGCAATCAGTTTATCAACAGTATCAGAGGAGTCAAGGTAAATACAGACTCGGTTGCCCGAGGTACGTGACGTAGAGAAGACGTTTCGAGGGCCAATGAAGTCACCAATGCATGTCAAATAATGATTAACAGGGACACCCCGAATTCCATCAATCAGGATGCCACGATTGTTTTCAGGATGAAAGTCTCCTGCGAGTCGTTGAGAGTACGAGCTACGTTGATTCATTTTCGATCCATTATTATCAGAATTTTGAATGTGTGTCGTGGACAGCTCACTGTTGACAGTTGTCATTTCAGATTGGTTTTTACTTTTTCTTTTGAGAGCTTTTTAGGATACCACTGGTGGTAGAGAGGGGAGAAGAGCTCTTCTCCCCTCCTTCCGATTGCGCGTGTTATTAATTACCCAGATTTAATGGGTGGGGCATTCTAACTACATAAGAATTTTTCACAACTCACTATACTCGTATACATGCACTGTTCACAACCTTGCGGAGCGTAAACACGAAACACGTCTTACTCGGTCGCCGGTCAAAGACCTTCCGAACCTTATCCGAATCCTTTCGAACGTTATCTTGATGTTTTTTTTTCCATCTTTCGTCATCTGAAATTGTCAATTAAGTCCTGCATCATGCACAAGTTTTGAAAAATTATGAATGAATAATCAAAAAAAGTAAAAAAAATTCTCAATTTTTTCAAAGAGCATTTTTAATTGATATTCAGAATAAGTTGAATAACAAGAAATTGAAAAATGTATCTGATTTACGGTGACAAATGACGGCCTGTCACCCAATATTATACAGGGGGAAGACTGATTTCGTAAATCTTTTCCCACACTGCACAGACACATTTATTACGGAAAAGCCTCTTTGAAAAAAGTAGTAATATTTTGGAGAATTTTTTAATCACACTTTTATCACATAAAAATGGCAGATGACTACATACCACTGTTTTGAAAATTAAGATACCTAGCCGTCACTTCCCATGAAGAGTTAGCGTTTTGTTATCCACCATGGAAAATGACAGCTAATAGATAATTTGCCACCGCCAATCAGATATTTGTAATTTCTAATTTTTTCAACTCATTCTGAATCTCAATTAGAAACGCTCTATGAAAAAGTTCAGAATTTTTTCCATTTTTTTTTTATCATTCTATCATAATTTTTGGGAATTTCTACATGATGTACCACGCAATTGACAATTTTGGATTACGAAAAATTAAAAAAATCCAGATAACATTCGAAAGAGAGTACACCCGGGCCTTAACCGAAAACTATTGCAAAGAACTCATTCCCTTTGGACATATTAGTAACTAGCTATGGACCCCGGCTTTGCTTGGGCAAAATAGAAGAAAATGAATATCGAGATTATGTTAAACGGATTATTATTATCGATTTTTTAGAATACTTCAGAATTTTTTTCGTTTCTTTGGAAAACCCTTGAATGGAAAATTTTAGAATTATTCAGAAACTTTTAGAATTTTTGGAAAGTTTCTACCTTTAGATTTCAATTTATTATGTAACAGGGTAGAAATAAAAATGAAGGCTATAAAACGAGAATTTCTTCCAATTTTCTCGAAAACTCGAGAATATTCTCGGAAACTTGAGAATGTTATGGATTTTTTCAGAAAATTCCAGAATTTTCTAGAAAGTTCTAGAATTTTCTAGAAAGTTCTAGAATTTTCTAGAAGTTTTTACGTTGCATACTGAACTATGCAATGCAGCGCAATCAATTTTAATCATGAATTTTCACTCTGTCGATCGTGAAACGACGGTGTTTATTTTCGACGTCCCCTCCACACCCTCCACGCAAACCCAAGGTGAAACCCCAATACTTTAGAGTGGGAGGTTCGAGAGCCTTTGCTCTGCCAGGTGTGCGTCGACTATGCTCATCGTTATAAAACTGGAAATTTTTTTCGAATATTCTAGAAAATTCTAGAAAAATCTGTGAATTTTCTCGAAAATTCGAAACAAATTTCATCGAGAATATCCTAGATTTCTCTAGAAAATTCTAGAATTTTAGGGTGGAAGGTTCGAGAGCTTTTGCTCTGCCAGGTGTGCGTCAACTATGCTCATCGTTATAAAACTGGAAAATTTTTTCGAATATTCTAGAAAATTCTAGAAAAATCTGTGAATTTTCTCGAAAATTCGAAAAAAAATTCAAAAGTTCAAAGAGTTCCGGACCTCTCCAGAAAGTTCCAAAAAGTTATAGAATTTTCTAGAAGTTTCCACGTTGCATACTGAACTATGCAACGAAGCGCAATAAATTATAGCCTAAAGCCATCTGGGGACCTGAAGCTACTTAACAGTGAAAACCTGATCAAAATCCATTCAGTGGATTTAGCGTGAATCGCGAACAAAGAATCGGTAACAGAGTTATTATATTTAAGATTATGTTTCCAACTTACTCTAAACGTTTCAGATTGAAAACAAACTTGATTCAACCATAACGGCCTCAAAACATAAGTAAATCGACTCCAATTGGTCTCATTTTGAAGTTTTTTCAAATTTCTATTGATGTGTGAAGACAGAAATTCAATTCCCAATCATCAAATGAAGTTATCTCACATTTAAAAAAATTGAAATTTAAAAAAATTTATAACTCAGGAGAAAAAATTTCAAACGATCTGAAAATTTGAAGATAAGTTTGTCGAACATACTTCTCTTCGGGAAAAAATCATCGGCTGAATTGGAAACAAGCAGTTTTTTCTGATTTCGGTTTTGACGTGGAATTGCTCATATGTTAAGGATAATCGGGCGAGGAGGAAATGTAGAAGGTGAGGCGGAGGGGTTTCTATTGTTTTCCTGCAGGAAACCAATCGCTGAACAAAAAAATTTTTCCCATTCGGATTCAAAATTCAGGCAATATTAGGGATTATTTTTGGTAATCGGATCTGGCCTTCCCTGGGCCAATCAGAGTTCAGTATTCAATAACATGAAGTACTTCCCAATTAAAATTACAGCGGTTATTTCCCCCTAGCTTTTGATAATTTCCCTCTAGCTTTGCAATTGTTTCTCTAACCAAATAACTGTCAAATATTATCCTGTGGAGTGAAAGAAAGTCATGAAGAAAGTCAAAATGAGTCGGTTTGGGAAAGATCCGATTACCAAAAATAATCCGTCGAATACCACTCGACCTACAAAATTAGACGAACATTTCCCTCATGTTTTCCTACGTATTAATGATCGGGATAAGTTTTGCACATAAATCCCTCGCGCTGCGCGCTCGGGATTTTAATCTGCAAAACTTCTCCCTCTCGTTGCTACGCAACAAAACAATGGGGAAATATCCGATAATTTTGGAGGTCTCGTGGTATTACTACTGAGTATCTCCGGTTAAAAAATATTTTTGGAGCTAATCAAATTTATTTGTATCTGTTCCATGCATTGAATGGTTTTCAGATTGTTTTTTTTAATAAATGAAAAAATAATAATCCATGCGAAAAAGTGGCAACACCGTCAGTAGTTTTTTTTTCAACAGAAGCTGGTACCACTGGCTCGAGGGAGCTCCAATCACAACTCTTCATCGCTGTGTCTCAAGAGACGTTTAAATTGACCGCGCTACCCACACCCGATCGGTACTTGGGACGTTGCTGCTCGTTTGGACTACGTGCGCAGAAATTTCATTTTTCAGTACTTTTTTCGCTATTATTAATAAACAATGCTCCAAGGCGACAATCTTTTTCACTCAAAAAATCATTGATCACATGTTCTAAATGTGTCTAAAGTTTCATGACTTTGGCTGCATTTTTTCCTTGGGTTTTGCGGTTTTTTTTGTGATTTCCATAAGATCACGGGTTAAATGACCACTTTTTCAAAAATTCATAATAAACTAACCATGCTCCCCAGCAGTCTGAAACTTTGCACACGCCTTTTCTGTCATTTGAAGAAAACGTAAAAAAATAAAAATAAAAAAATGGCTGCTTTTATTCCAACCCTCCGTGCTCGCCCGACTATCCTTAAACACTAAGAAGCTTCAATCAGCTAAAATCCCTGGAATTTGTTTTTATTTCTCCATCATGTGTTTGAGTATCTAAAAGTATCTATTGAAAGGCAGTCCTTTTTTGATTATATTATTATTTACGTGTGTAAACTTACCTTGAACATGAGATGTGGAAAATTTAGTCGGAGTCATACGAGAAGAAATTGTTTGGTCCTCCATTAATGATATATCACCTGCTATGAATTTCCCACTTCCGGTTCTATGGAGAAAAAACATGAATAATTATGGTAATAAAATATTCAGATTCATGCTGAACAAAATAGTTGATGAGAGAAAAGAATATAATAAATTCCATATAGCTAAACAAATAAACGCAAACGAACGGAACTCCACCATATAAAATACTTGGGGCTCGATTCGGCAGACAAGGTGGAGTACCTCACCTTACAATTCCTTGATAGAAATTTCTTGAGTGGGTCCTGCTTGAACTGAGGGAAGGACTGCTGGTCCATCTGACACCAAAACAGAGCGAGAAGGGCGATGGGACTGGAACTAGGCGCCAGCCGCTCAGCCGCAAATTTGTAATTTTTTATGGGGAGTGTACGATATGGCGGCCGCATATGTTTTAACCGTATTCAAAAGATACAGAACTAGAAACACTGCAGAAGAAATTAATTGATGATGAGATTGAAAAATTTTAATTTCAAAATGTCCCTTGGGGTCCACTGGATATTATGAAAAAGGAAAAAAGTGAGAAAGAGATTTCCTAGGAGATCGCTGAACGATGCATAGGGAGCAAGTGTAGGATTCTCTCAGAAAGATTTGTGAAAAAATGGAAAATAAATATATGTTGGTGACGAGATCAGAAATTTTTTATTGGAAAATGATCTTCGAGGTCTCTTGAATGTTAGAAAAAAGAAAAAAATATAACAAACAGTTTCCTAAGGGGGCCTCTATGGGAGCGAAGGGGGCAGTTCTGAGATTCTCTCTGAAAATTTTATTGAATAATTGCAAAATAAATATTAATTGGTGGCGAGATCGAAAATTTTTTATTGGAAACTGATCTTGAGGGTTCCATAGATATTAGGAAGAAGAGAAAAACCTTAAGACCCGGATGGAGTTACCAACACTCCCTCCACCCCACCTCCCGCTAAAATCCATCATCTCGATATGGTGGATCAATGGGTGATGCGGACATGCACTTGGTATATAAATGATTGCACTCGAAATAATCAAAAAATCGCGAATAAAACGGTTGACCGGCCTGGCCACATCATTCTTCTTTTTTTAAATCACATTCCCGCTTGTGAATATTGCGAATTGAAAAAAAAACCTGTATAGTGCGAGTTGGCTATCAACTGTTATGTCCTCACACTAACAAAAAGATAATCTTTTTCGCCTTGAGCGCCCTCGCTTTCAACGGCGACACGGCGAGTTGAGGAGGACCGTTTTTACTGACGCATGTGGCTATGTGCGGCACGAGATTATAGCGGCGCAGAGTGGGGGAAAGCGCCTATGTGGGGGTAATCGGAGGGCTGGGCAAACCGTGATGAGTATCTCAACGACGTTGAGGGAAATCTTCCGGTTTTAAACGCCATTTGATCCTGGAATTATGCCCTCAATATGAAAATCAATTTTTCCTCCCCTAATTGAGATGGAGAGATGGAACGAATGCCAATCGATTGAGGATTGAATTCTCAATGAACTGACAGCGATTCCATTTCTAATCCTCAATTAGGAGAGGAGAAATACATTTTCGAAGCGCGGAGTGACTGCGGACAAGTTTTTCCCATTAAAAAATTCATTTCTCTCCCCTCTAATTGAGATGAAGGAATAAAGCCGATGCCGATCGATCGAGAATTATATTTTCAATAAATGGCAGTGGTTTCATTCATTAATCTCAAGTAGGAGCGGAGAAATGAATTTTCAAAAGCGCGGAGTAACCCCGAACGGCTCTCCGACGGCGAGTGAGCCTGGTGGGGCTCCCCCGATTGGAAAATACATTTCTCCCCCCCCCCCTAATTGGGATGAAGGAATAAAAGCAACGTCTATCGATCGAAAATTATATTCTCAATAAATGACAGCGGTTTCATTCCTTAATCTCTATTAGGAGCGGAGGAATGAATTTTCAAAACGCGAAGTAACTCTGGACAAGTTCTTCTCATTCAAAAATTCATTTCTCCCCTCCCTAATTATGATGAAGGCATGAAACGCCTATCGATCGAGAATTATATTTTTAATAAATGACACTGGTTTCATTCTTTCATCTCAATTAGGGGGGGAGAAATTAATTTTCCAATCGGGAGAGCCCCTCCTGGCTCACTCGACGCCGGAAAACCGTTCGGGGTTACTCCGCGCTTTTGAGAATTTATTCCTCCGGTCCTAATTGGGATTAAGGAATGAAACCGATGTCATTTATTAAAAATACAATTCTCGATCGATAGGCTTTGGTTTGATTCCTTCATGTCAATTAGGGAGCGGAGAAATTAATTTTTGAATGAGAAGAACTTGTCCGGAGTTACTGCGCGCTTTGAAAATTCATTCCTCCTCTCCTAATAGAGATTAAGGAATGAAACCGATATCATTTATTGAGAATATAATTCTCGATCGACAGACGTTGCTTTTATTCCTTCATCCCAATTAGGGGGGGAGAAATGAATTTTCCAATCGGGGGAGCGCCTCCGGGTTCACTTCAAAAGTGGGAGATGTGAGAGAAAAGATGTAGAGACTGACGAAAAAGGAAATGGATGTGACAGTTGCAAGAGGGCGAGAGGCGAGCTAGTATTGAAAGAGGAAGAACTGAAGACCTTGAAGCGACAGATGAAAAATCTACAGCAGGAAAATATCAACCTCCAGAAAAAACTTGATAACAAGCAAGAACTACTGGATGACTGGGCTAAGACGTCAAAACAATGGAGAGGTGAGTACAAAAAACTCAGTGAAATGATAAGACAAGAACATGCTGATAGAAATGTACCACTTGGCTACGTATGCATTACTAACACCCCAGTGGTGAGGACAGTTAAGCCAACAAATGATGAGAAAAAGACAGCAGAAGGGACATCAGACGACCCAGAGGGGCAAAAGAAGTCTCAAAAGGTACGAGAGATACCAGGAAATGTTAATATTGAAGGAGAACAGGAGGCGGCACAGATGGATCCCAAGGTGGACCCACCAGCTCAAACGGTGACCTTGGCGTCAGGAGGGTGGGGGCCGTTGAAAGGAAGAAGAAAGAGGAGCTAGAAGGATGGCTAGAAGGAACATTGGAGGTGAAAGCTAGAGTAGAAAAACTAGACAGAGTCGACCCAGCAACTTGGAAGGCAGTAGTGCAGGAGTGGAACTCGAAAGTAGCTATCATGAAAGCAAAGAAAACGCTAAGAGGACTTGGCTGGGTAGTGTGGATCACTGATGATTTCACAGACAGGCAGAAAGAAGTTCAGACGTGGATAAGAAGAGAGGCAGAAAACTGGAGGCTATTGAAACGAAAGGTGCGTATTGGTTATCAGAAGATTAGTGTTGATGGCACCTGGCTTATTTGGGATGAAGAAGAAGGAACCCTTGTCCAAGAAAAGATGGAAGACGAAGAACAGGAAGAATATGAGGTAGAGGTAGAGCAACAACCTCCACAGCCGTTTCGAGGCAGGGGAAAGGGGAGGCTACGAAACGAATGAGCTGGTAATTCTGCACTGGAACACACGAGGCTTAAGTAACATAAAGAAGAATGTGAGGCTATGGCAGGACGCGGATATAGTGTCTTTCCAGGAGACTTTTCTAGAAGAGAAAGAGATGAAACAGGCTATCGAGAGTTTGAATAAAAACTACGACTGGAAAGGAAAGACAGCTACAAGAGCACACACCAGAGGCAGAGCGTTAGCAGGACATATTATAGGCATAAAGACGAGCATAGAAGAAAACTGGAAGCTGAAAGAATGGGAGTACGGGCTACAATTACAATTAGAGAATAGAAAAATACCAGAAGACAAGTACACAATCATATCTGGATATTATAACCATCATCTTAATCTAAAAAAGTTCCTGAAGCAAGCTGACAAAGAGCTTGATGACCTGGAAGGGAAGGCAACGAAGGTGTTGGTGATTGGAGACCTCAACGCACGGATTGGTCGAGAACAAGGAGTCGCCGATTGCGGATTAGAGCCTATAGAGGACACATACCCCCACAGAAATTCGGAGGATGAGAAGCTGAGAGAACCTGAGAGACCAATACTCCTAAAATGGTGTGAAACACGAGCAATGTTGATCATGAATGGCAGATCTAACGGAGACGAGGAGGGCAAGATCACCGCGATAGCAGAAGGAGAAGGACTAGGCAGTGTACTTGACTATGTAATAGCCAAGTCAGAAGAGCAGGGATTAACACCGGAATGGTTCAACGGCATGAGAGTAGCAACTCAAGAAGGCTCAGACCATTTACCCATTTTCTATAGGGTGAAATGGGAGACCAAGGAGAGATTAAAGAAAATTGTGAAAAAAGGCAAAAAACAGAAGAGGCTGAAATGAAAGGAGAAAAAAGCAGAAGATTTCCGAAAAGAATGGGAAGACAAATGAAAGAGCAAGGAATAATTGATAGAACCAACACCAGAAGAGAGATGGGCACACATCGTCGATATAATTGAAGAAACGGCAAGGAAAGTGGAAATGACCACCGGAAGTAGACCTCCAGGCTGGAAAGAAGAAACTTGGGACAAAAATGGTGAATACAGAAACATGAAAAGAAAATTATTTAAACAGTTACACAGATTCAGGAAAAAACGAGACTGGAAAAATAATCGAGATTATATAACATGTAAAAGAGAACTGGCAACCCTAAGGGACAGACTAATCAAAGACGGGCTGAAGGAAAAACAAGCAGAGGTTGGAGCAAGTAAAAACCTCACAGAATAGTGGAAGGCAAGGAACGGGTACAGGAAAAAGAAAAAAGCAAATCTTGCCGGTAAAATTGGGAAGGAAAGAATGCTTCTTCACTTCCGGACACTCCTGGAAGGAGAAATGGATGGAGAGGAGGAGGGTAGAGAAGAGAATGAACAGGAGGAAGGGTCATCAAACGCCAGCACCAGACCAAGAGACACAGAAGCGACACAGAGCACCACAGAGGAAGAGGAGGCAGAAGTAATAGGAGAGGAGGGAGAAAGAGGCCTAAACAGTCTACTAACACAAAGTGAAATAGTAGCGACGTTGAGACATTTGAAGAAAGGCAAAGCAGCAGGGGAAGACGAGATAGCAGCAGACTTCCTGACAGGG